CGGTGTCACAACACAAGCACCATGATGTGATGAGCTCTGACAAGATCAAGGAAATATTTTTCATCCTGGTGGGTGTGGGTGAGAACACTTTTCTGAAAAATATGCTTCTCCTTTCTCTCACTTCTCATATTTTACTCTTCTTGGTAAAAGGTTCTTCTTATCCTTTCCTCAACAGAGGACTACTGAGAAGGTAGGAATGCAAAATAAAATTGTTACGTTAAAGTGCTTTAGAAGAAGACTGAAGGGAGAACAAATGTATTATTATTAAATCATTATTGTGAAAACTACAATTTAAGTGATAAACTGTTAGGCTGGATGTTCACCCATTATTGACATTTAACTTTGGTTTTTGTTTATGTATTGACCCAGGAACATGAAAGCACCACTTCTACTTCATTTACTTTTCCAAGGTACATTGTCTGTTGTCCTCTTTTAGGCATGTTTTGGGCATGTTCTGTCACAGAAAATGTTTCTATACATTTATTAATATAATTTAACAGAAATTTCCACATTAGGCTACTCAGTTATGAAATACCAAAATCATATCGAAATAATAGGCTACAATTTTACACACACAGGGACAACTTTATTCACAGCAGTCAAAAAACTGCCTACCATCTGCCTTACACTCACAAATCATATGTTTTATTCCGTGATAAAATAATGTGAAGCTATAAAACAGACACTAATATTCTCAGTTTAATCAACATTTTGAAAAAAAAAAGTGAAACCTATAAGTCATTGTGCAAAAGCATTAGCCTTTACAGTGTAAATTGTGTGCCAGTGTGGGATTTCGAGGGTGAGTTGTCAAGGGTAGAAATTTTATGTTGCCTCAAGTTGGCGGTGGTAAAGTACTACAGATCAAGATGGAGGCTCTCTAAAAACTACAACATCCAGATCACCTACCAGTGAAGACTAGACAGACTAACAAATGCTGTTTAATTTACAAGTACTGTGACTAAAAACAAACTCTGTCACATCGTTGAATTTCATTTAAATCTAGACTCTATTTGAATATAGATGTTGCTTTTTTTTTCTTGGACAATATGGAAAGAACGTTATTTCTAAACACAATATAAAATGACGATTGACACATGCCCATTACATTTTACGATTAATTTAATACATTTCTCATACTATACACCAAATCAGCAATGACAAGATTTAACAATCATATAAAAACAGCTAAACATCTCTACACTAAATGTTTACAGCAGTCGCATAAGCTGAATCTACTATTGACACTTATGACATCTACAAAGTTTAGTGTATTATAGTGTGCTATACTAACAGAAAAAAATATGGGATAAATGAAATGATAAAATTTCCAGCCTAAATAGCATACAGCCATTAATGACTCCAACTTTTCTCCCACAGGTGTTCTGCTCTATGATGCTTTGGGATGGGAAGTGAGAATGCCGAAAGACATTCACGGCCTCAAAGGTTCCTGTCTGGTCATTCCATGTTCTTTCAGCTACACATCAAACCCACCCAAAGACCCACGTAGAGTTGTGTGGTATCAGTGGGTCTCTAGAGGTTATCCTTTAGTTTACGATCCTTTGCATGCAGACAATGTCATCGAGAAGTTCAGAGGAAAAACTGATTTATACGGAAGCTCAAGTAGGGATTGCAGTCTGCTGATCAAAAACCTGGAACCGTCCCACCATGGAGAAAAATTATATGCATGGATTGACCCTGAAAATGTAGGGTATCGCACCTACAAATTTTATGATGTCACTTCTACAATCCTTGTCAAAGGTATGGAAATACTTTTTTCTTTCTTTAACTCGTGATCTAGTTGTGAGAGTGTGTTGCCTAATTGTGACATTTCTGCTATTTGTAGCAAGTCCACAGCAGCCCAGAATCAACATTTTTGGAGGTGAAAAGACTGGTGACACCATCACAGTAGCATGTTCAACTTTCCACACGTGTCCATACAGCAAACCAAGCATCACTCTGAACGGTATAGAAGGATCTGATGAAATAGACAATGAGCATTTTAAAGACGGCCTGTGGAAAATCACTCTGACATGCACAGGTGTCATAAAGACAGAACATTCAACTATTGAGTGTTCAGTAACACATTATGGTGGAATAACAGTGACAGCTACAAAAAGATAAAAGTGCCAAATGTGAGTAAACACAAACATGAACTGCTTTGTGTGATGTTAGCTCTAAGTTCAGTTAAAATGCCACAGTTGGACCTATTACAAGATTTCAGTTCAATTTCAGGTGTTCATCATAACATATCGATTGAGCCTGAACTGGCAGATGTCACAGAGAGCGTCGCAAAGAACTTCACTTGTACTATCTACCATTCCTGCCAGAAAGAGAATCCAAACATCACATGGAACTATGAGAATGTGCAGGTCACAGAGTGGAACAAAACACTTTCTGGTTTAGAGCAGATCACCTATTCCAACATAACCTTTCTGGGTGCAAAAGAAGACCATGGGAAAAAATTGATATGTACTGCAAAATTTTCTGGAAGAGACATTATGGCATTTGTTGTCTTAAATGTGCAAAGTGAGTAATTTATTAGCATTTTGTCCCACCCATATATCATAATTTATATGGTTTTATACTGATTCTCTTGCGCTCCAAATCTTGTGAATCCAATCCAGAAAGAAGCATGTGCTTTGTTTTTTTCCCTGTATTTCATACTTACACCATTGCCTTGCCTTTCAGATCAGTTATGATATCAGTTTTAATATCAGTTGTGTGCTAAAAAATTATATATTTGTTTTACCCCTTTCCATCATGAGGCAGACCCAGTGCTCACTGGACTCAAGACTATTGGTCTTTACATCTTAACACCCTCACTTTTGTTCCTTCTGGCTTGTATACTTACTGTAGTCATCATTTACAAGAAGCGACAAAGGTAACTCTTTGTTTATGTTTCTTTAAGCCAGGTGTTCCCAAATTGAACTTCATTGTACATGAACTAAAATACTGATAAATTTGTTGTAAATGAAATGAGAAGATGATATTCAAAGACTTGTCTCTTTCTGTCTATTTCCGTTATTATAACTTATCCATTTATAACTTCATACTTCAACAAAAGCTAATTATATATTCTGAGAACAAAGTAGATGATGTCTAATACAAATTGCCATACCACTTACCATATTTGGCTGTGTAGATGTTCATTGGATGACATAAAACAAGCAATGCTTATCTAATTACAATATAATTGTTATGCATTTGCTGTCTTTGATGCTTGATTATGTGATCTTTAATTACCTATAATTTCATTTAAAAGTTATTTAAAAGATGTTGGACCTGTCAGGAATTAAACGCATTAAACTTGAGGTCAAATCACACAGGAAATAAAGTAGAAATTAAACAAAAGGTTAAAGGCGTTATTAAAACTTACAGCATCAGCTTCTTTTTCTTACACATAACATCTGTTCCCAGGTCAAAAGATGCAAGTACAGAGTCAGGAAAAAAGCCTTTCTCCAAACCTCGAATGCCATCACCAAAGAGGTACAGCAACTTTGAACCACATTAGGTCTCTAATAAGTGGATGTTCAGTCTTTTACATTTTTCAAAAGTGACAAATTATGCTTGGTATTTAAATGAAATAACAACAAAAATGTGTATTTTCCCCCATGCACCTCAGTGATCCAAAATCCCACTCAGTGAGTATATTGTTTATTTCTGCTATTAGTGTGTTACACTCTGGAAATAGATTCTTTGACAAATTCTTACTAAAATTACTGATGTCTGGCTTTGTACTTTCTTGAAATATTCCATAAGGATTATAATTATGAAGCTGATTACATCAACATGGATGAAGGCAATATCTATGGAAATGTCTGATGAAAAAGCTACACGTCAAAACCAAAATGGGTTTCACTATAACGTTTTTAAGAAGATCAACAATGTCAGACTTCATTAATAATAAAACATTTGTCATGCATGCATGTTATGTAGCATCAAGATATCATGCCTTCCAACACAATACGTAACATACTTTTATAATATATGCATTTATCTTTGGAATATATAATCCTTTAGGCAGGTTGGTTGAGCAAACAACATCTCTGAAGTATCACTCTGAATTATATATGTGACCCTGTGCCACAAAACCAGTCTTAAGTTGCACGGCTATATTGTAGCAATAGCCAAAAATACATTGTATGGGTCAAAAATCATTAGGATATTAAATAAAGAGCATGTTCCATGAAGATATTTTGTAAATTTCAATTATGTAAATTGTATTATTTTATTTATTTATTTATTGTAAATGGACAACATTAAAGGAGATTTTCAATATTTTGATTTTTTTGCACCCTCAGATTCCAAATTTTCAAATAGTTATATTTTGGCCAAATACTATCCTAAAGCTTATTTGTTCAATTTTTAGATGATGTATAAATCTCAATTTCAAAATAATTGACCCTATGCCTGGTTTTGTGGTCCAGAGTCACATTTGTAAATTGTTGATTGTTAAAAATGTCTCTACTACTTTTGTATATGACTACATGATTCAATTATATCATTGTGTCCAATTAAAGTTTCATATTAAATTATTTTATTTGTAAACAATTATTTGCTTCTCATATTATAACAAACTTGTAGTGTAATTCCTTCCTGAAATCACTGAGCCCAGGAGACTTTTTTTTTTCATTTACAGTTTTATGCAACCAGTCAAATGTTCTCAGCTTGGCAGTTCAGCAGTGGCAAATACAAATGTTTAATGAAAAAAATTACAAAGCAATGTTGTTGCATTTCACACAATGTAGTGAAAGTAAATGTTCACACAATTTTTTTGCAATTTTCCACTCAAGAATTGATCACACAAATATATGGTGCATTGATACATAATGAAATAGTATTTTCAAAACATTATTAATTATTTTTTATCAATAGTATATTAATGCAACAGCAACTCACTGCAAAACTAAAAAGTGAAGGTGTAGAAAGCACACTTATTGAATCATAATTTATATGATATTTTCACTTTCAAATAACATTATATAGACTAATATTATAACTATAATACAGATTAAGGATATAATACTTTGTTTTAATACTTAAATTGGAAACTCCTTGTGTTTATGTATTAATGGCTGAATATACTGTTCTGTCCTCGTCATCAGAGCTTGAACTGCTAAGGCAGCTCTTCTGCTTATGTTTGGGTTCTTTAACAGCAGACTTGGCAGAACAAGACACAGTGGTGTAATTCACTTCATCTTCTTCGCTGGTATCAGATTCCCAGTCCATATTTGTGCATGGAAGTTTTGGCACACACGCAGAAGAAACATTCTCATAATCTGGATTTTCTGATTGGGAATTCTAGGAAGAGGATGAAATAATAAAACAAATGTTCTCAATATACAGTTATATAAAAAGTGCTCCATACAATTTCTGGTTTATCCTTATTGTGAACACCTTATTGTGAGTGTGTTTGTTCTGTAGACATATGATAACACAAAACAACTATTCTGAATAGACTATAATTATGTAAACTATTTTTTGAGCGAGTACATCATAACTCATCCAAACCGTGTTTTTGTCTTACCCTGAATTACTACAGTAAGCCTATTATAAGTATTTTATATTTTAGGCCTGTCAGGGTGGATTTTGCGGGAAATTGCGTACATACGCACTTCACCTGTGCGTGTCTCGTCATATTCGTAAACGGAGAGAGGCAGCTCTTTCTACTCTGGCGCATATGGTGTGGGAGTAGCAAACAGCTGGAAGATTGTTGTCACAATGAGAGAGAAATATTGACCATGGACCGTGCAAAACGTAAAATCAACAGTTCTAAAATCAAAGGAACTCCAAACAGAGCAGAGTTTATAAGCAAAAAGGGAAAGCGACAGAGTCCGTAATAAAACCCGAATCAACATGGGCTTTTCTGGTGATGAGAACTCCCAAGATTTGAAAGGATTTAAAACCGACCAGAGATGGCTTCTTTCGTACTCAACAGGTAAGATGTTTTGTTTAATCCACAGATAATCATGTAGCTCTCTAATAGTAGCGTGTGTTTGTTATAATGTTAACTAGCCCACTGGAAAGAGTAATTTCATTATGGGTTCATTGTTGTAGTGCTGTGCTGGATTTCATTTTCAATGATGGATCGCGTAAATTATACACACAATATGTCACCAAATTAACAATTAACATCTTCTTTTTAAACGTCTTCAGCTATATAAATAGTCAACGCCATCTAAGCTGGTTATCTCTTGAGCATGTGTTTTGATTTGCGTTTCATTCACAGAGTTTCAGATCTGACAGCTTGTAAACGTCGTAAAAATAAAAAAACGTCATAAAGACATAAATGTTTCCAATTACTCGTAAGAATTTCACGCTGAGATGTCATCTTTTTAGATTTCCATGTGTGCATTGTTGCCGCAAACCACATTTTTTTCGTACAGAGTCGAAGCAGAACCAAAACAATATTCTTCCGCGAGTTGCATGCATTACTTGCATATTCTGAAGTCTTACCATTGTCTGTTTATTTTTTGACACCGTAGTATAGACTGCTGATCCTTCAGGTACTCTAAAATCAAAATGTAAAAAAAATTAAAAGCATAATTAGTGCATTTGTCATATCTTTAAATGCGCATTGAATTTATACTTTTTTCTGATTTCATAAAGTTCTAACTTACGTTTAACTTCTGATTTGAATATTCCTTATCTGTGTTACCTTTTTTCTGGCTCATTTTGCCCCTTGAAATCAAGAGTGACATAGTTTAGGGTAGATGTAGCTGCGTCATTGTCCATATATCCATTTTTTTGTTGTTTTGGGGACTGTCTTCTCTGTAACAAAAAAAAAAGACAACTTGCTAAGCATAAAAACGTGATACTGATGTTTCAAAAAAAGAAAAAAATTTTCTCACCTGTTTCATTTGTGGCAGTTTAATAGCAGCATACACCGTGTGGATATTAGATTTCGGCCTTGAGAGAAAAAAAGATGAATTAATTTCATTACAAATAGTGGATGTCTCCATCAGTTCTGCTGCTATTACCTTGGAATAGGGTCCTGTGCTCGAGTAGGGTCTTGGGAATTGGGTGTCAGACGTGATTGATTAACTCTTCCATAACCTGAATCAGGAATGCCCGCCACTGACAGATTCTCCTGGGTATTATTACGTGATCCCTAAGTGTTTAAATATTCCAAACAAAAAAGGATTTATCTCTTATTATTAAGCAAACAGATATATTTCATTGTTTAAAAAATACATATAAAGGTGATTTCAATATTATACTGTAAGTAGCTCAGTTCCAGAACAAACAGAAGTAAAATAACCAATAAAAGTAAGTTTGTCACTGTAGAAGAGCGTGACAGGAATACTGGAAAAAAGCACAAAGGATTATCTGCTCCACTTTGCTGATCTGATCTTGCCTTGATGATAGTCCTGTAAAATAACAAGAGCAATAATTGGAATAACTGATAACTCAACACCTGATAAGGCTATACTAATATGCAGATGAACTATTAAATGATACAAGCTAATTTAGTGGTATTTTCAACTTAACATCTAGAAAAAGAAAGAGGAATTCACCTGCGTATCAGAAAGACGGCCACACAAATAAGAATCAACAGTAGAATGATGGGTAAGATGATCTGGTAGAACACCGTAAGAGAGTTACCTAAATTAAGAGAGGTTTGGGAAGAGATCAAGAAATCATTTTTAAAACAACCCTGCATGACTTAATCTAACCCAAATTCATGAATTTACCCAGTTAACCACTTAAAGAAGTACAAATTGTTGAAGAAATTGGCTTTAATCATGCATTTACGATGTGCTCATGTATAATTTTACCTTTTTTTTTTACAAAAAAGGGGGGGGGGCCAGTATGAAATATTGACAGCTAGTGGTTGATATAAGTATTGCAGTACAATGTCAAAATATTAGAAAAAGGTGTTTTCCACCAACTGGCAACCTGGAGTGTTTACTGTGAATACTATTGAGTAAATTGGCAATAGGCAGGATCACATGCTTCAAAGTAGAATAACTGGCTGTAGCATTGTTTTTCAGAGAAACAAGTATGCGAACTTAGTATGTTTCCTAAAAATCGTTCAACAGACTATGGTATTTTTATGCTTTCATAAAGGTTTCATGGAATGATATGCAGAAAACCATCCTACACCCTGACAGATATCATTAAAATATTAGGTAGGCTAAATAAATTTCTTGGTTATCATGGTCACGCCAAAGAGGCAGTTGTAGAAAGAGGGTCATGTCTAAAGTCTGGCGGAAGAAGTTCTAGCTAAATGCAGCTAATATTTTATTCCAATTTGAGTAATTTTCTAAATACATATTTATGATGTGTTATTTCATACTCACTGCCAATAAATAACATGATGTTTTTGGATCGTGATTGTCCGATAGCATTGGCTGCTGTACAGTAATAGATTCCTGGGTTCTGAGGCTGAACAGTGAAGTTCTGATGATCTGACAGTGCGGTCGTGTTGTCCTCCTCTCTGTACCATTTGTAGACCGTGGCAGGAGGATATGCATCTGCACTGCAGGTCAGATAGACTGGAAACTCCCAATTCCACTGAGTTAATGTTGTCATGTTATGGACCATTTTTATGTTTGGAACATCTATAGAAAACAGGCAAAAGGACATGTATATATTCATAATATTTGGTAGATGGAAAGCATTGACTATTTGATTTATTTTTATACAACAACACATTTGGACAGTGTTATGTTAACCCAGCTATCATGACAAGGTCATTCATTAGACTACTTAAACTAATCACACAACATTGGTCAATCTTATATATGTCAGAAAAGTCAAATTCCAAAAATTAAGAAGCATTTTTTTTCACTAAAAATCAAGCATAGCGTTAGTTCTGGCAGGTCACGTTAGTCAAGCTCGCATCAGCTGACCTTCAGCTGATCCCCAACTACCTATGGGACTACGACACCTATCTAAGCATTCATATATAAGGTCCCTCGGTATTATCAGCAGTTTTCGCATTGCTCAATAGCTAATTACCCTCCTCCATCCCCAACTCCTCCTCTGTCAGTCGGGATTCAGCCTTCTGATTCTCCTTGAATCAGACTAATTCTAAAATGTGTAGATAAAATGATTGAACTTTAACAATATCTGCAATACATTTATGTTAGTTCTGTTCTGTTTACCCTGGGGGGTTATTGCTGCTCTCCCTGCTCTCATCCATGCTAGGCTGCATGGAGGCGCAGGGAGTTCTTGCCCAGAACAGAACCATACCGCCAATCCAAGCTGTATGCTAATTGTCAATCATCTTTGACGATAGTGGTCCTGACAGAAACTAAGGTGTGTCAAATAACTAGTAGAAATAAGTACTCACATTTCACCTTGATCTCAACTAATAGAGATTCTCTTTTTCCAATGGAATTTTGAGCAATACAGGCGTACTGACCAGAGTCAGAGATTTCCAGAGAAAGAAAGTGTAGTCTCTGTCCACGTTTCCGTTCAATTGTCTTTAACTGTCCATTGAAGCATTTCTTCCACTCATATGAGGACAGAGCAGGATTGGCACGAGCCTCACATGTAAGGGTCAGCTCACTCCCAAATGTTTGTTCTCCTTTAACACTTGCAGTCACATTTTTGGGTACGTCTATATACACATGATTTATAAGAAGATGAAACTCAAATTATTTAGGTGAAGTAATGCTCAAAGTCCTATTTATCAGTTTGGTCACTTTCAAGTAAAATTAAAGCATCTCACGTCTCTCAAAAGTCCTTGAAACTTTATTTAAATAATCAAAAACAAATTGATTATTACGTACGAAACACAATTAGCTCTTGTTTAGTTTCTTGTTTTCCCTCTTGACTTTCTGCGTTGCACTTGTACGTTCCTGCATCTGACTCGGTGACATTCAAGTAGACTGTCAACTTGTTTGCAGATGCAGTGTTGTTCCTTTGATTGTTCTGAATATATGTCAGATCATCCTGAGGTCCTGTCACTGTGAGGTGTGACACAGGAAAGCTTTGAACCGTGCAGATAATGGAGATCACTTCAAACTCTCTCACTTCCCTCTTCATGATCAAATTGAGATTAGATGGAGGATCTGCAGAGTTGAAAAGAAAAAGTGTCCAAATGACTTGGCTATTCGTGAAATCATTTACTTTGATTAGTTAAGGTATAGATTTTAGAGCAAAACAGACTTACAAAGCACATCAACTTTAATGGTGTGTGATCCTGTTCCAATAGTGTTGGTAACATCACATGTGTACCGCCCTGCATGTTGAATGGTCACATTCTCAATGTTTAACTGTCCAGTTTCCATTGATAACGGGACAGAAGACAGTCTAGGTGTGTGCTTCCATTTGTATGTGTGTGGCCGAGGGTCAGCATCAGCTGAGCATGTCAAAGTCAGTGGAGTGCCCACTTTTACAGAGGTTGTGCCCTCTATTTTGATGCTTCTTGGTGAATCTGTGAGAGACAAGAAAAATTAAAATTTTGAAAAGCATTGTCACAGTATACTATAATAAAATATTCATGATTTTTTTAGAAATATGTAGGCTAATTGTGACTAATTTATGTGAAGAGATTCATCATCTAACATGCTTTTGATAATTAGCATTTGAATTAGTTCATTTTGCATAAGCTTTCTAAATGACATGGAGTAATGCTAACTATCATAAATTTATTAGCTGACTAAGAGTTTGATTTCATATTTAGCAGATATTTAATTATAATCAATAACAAAAGCACTTTATTAGTTTGTTGGAGGTGCAGGTATATAAAGACGTGCTACAAATAATATACAGAAATACTCACACTTTACAGATACTTCGAGGTTATTTGATGTTGCTGTTTTTATCCCGTTATCAGCCTGGCAATGGTAAGATCCTCTGTCCTCTGCAGTAACTTTAGTGGTGATAAATGTCTCGCTAGTTTCATGCTGGGCTTGGGAATTTTTGTACCACATAAACTGATAGACTGCTGGGTTACCTCTCTGGACTAAACACTGGAGTGTCAGTTTATCTCCCTCTTTGAGATCATTAATGTTGACAGGAGGTTGCACTGTGACACCTTGTGGACCATCTGAAAAATGCAGTGCACAGGCACAAGAAATGCAAATTTATTACATTTTAAAGTAAAATTAAATTATTTGAACAGATGAAGTACTGAAGTTCAAAATCTTTATGACGTTCTTCAAAGGTATCTGTTTACCTAAAACATTATACTCACACTTCACATAAATTGTAATGATATTTGATTCCTTTGCTCCATGCTTGTTTTTAGCTTCACAGTAATATTCTCCACTGTCTTCTGGTTTCACATTAATTAGTGTCAAGTCAGACATTTGTTGATATTTTTCTATTTTCTCTTTTTTGAACCATGAGAAGCTGACATCAGGGCGACCTGTGCTGGTGCAGGAGAGAGTGACAGAATCTCCCTCCTCTACATTCTCAGAGCTCACTGTTGCCTTTGTCTCTTTAGGTGCATCTAGAGAAGAAAAGAGATGAAGTGGACAGCTGGAGTGAATAATGCTCAGTCAGTGACTGTGTACACTAAATATACAGTATTTGTTCATAAACACATGCTATACACACTCACGTTCCACAAACAGTGTGATATTCCTGATCTGGCAGCTGTCCTCACTCTTCGCTGGATGACAAGACAGAATCCTGTTGTCATCCTTCCATGTCACATTGAGCTTCAATTTGGTGACCTTTCTGCCTTCTTTTCCCTCTTCAGTCTCTATAATCGTATCAGTTGACAAGGAGGACATCCATTCTTGCTTTTGTCCTGATGTATGGACGAGCCACTCAGGATGAAAATCACAGGAGCCAAATGTGGAACAGCGAAGAGTAAATTCTTCTGACTCATTGAGTGGATTCTTCAGATCTGACGTTTCAATGTGCACCTTACAAGGATTGTCTGAAAACAATATGGAGCGAGAACAGGTGATCCAGAACCTTCACATTTTCTCCAACAAAGAAATATATTGAAATCTTGCAATTTCAAGTTCTGAGAAAAGAAGTCAGAATTGTGAGATATAAACTCACAGTTCTGAAAAGAAAAGCACAATTTCTGATAAATAAACTTGTAATGTTGTAACTGTGAGATAAGTCCAGAGTTGTAAGTTAAAAGCACAGTTGTTTATTTCCTGTTATTCTGTGACTAAATTTGACTTTCCCCCCCACTATTGCAAGTTTATATCACATAATTCAGACTTTTATTCTCAGAATTGCAAGTGTATATCTTGTAATTCTGAGTTTATATCTTGCAACTCAGAATTGTAAGAAAAAAGAGACAGATTTGTGAAATATAAACTCAGAAATCAAGAAAAAAGTCAGTTTGTGAGATAAAAAGTTACAATTTTACTATTCCATAGCAGAAATAAGCTTCCATAATTATCAAAACTATAATCAAAAAATGAAAATTAATCACCCTCGCCCTCATGTTGTTCAGTTATTTTTTAAATATATTTCTTAGTAAAAAAAAAAAGTTCCAAAAGTGACAAAAATCAAGGACTTTTGCACAATATACTTCTGAATATTCTCACTGATGATCACTCTGTCGTAGTTTTATTTGTGTGATTAAAAGATATGCTTATTCATATTTGGAGAATTGTGATTGATTATGAGACACACGAGAACCAGTAGCATCTTCATAAAGACTTAAAATATAGTGTCGGGTCATAGGAACTATTTTATTATTTGCTAAGTGTAATTTTTGGAGCCCCTGGTCACATTCAGTTTTATTTTTTTTTAAACAGCAGCATGGTCACCGCCAATGGCCTCATGGGCAGTGTGCCAACATATAGCGCCGTTGCGCTTTGTGCATATCGAGTTCGAGTCGTGGCTCGTGGACCTTTCCCGATCCCCCAACCCCTCCTCCCCTCTCTCTCTCCCTCTTCACCTCCTGTCTGAGTACTGTCCGATCATATTAAAGGCTAAAAGCCAATAAAATCTTGAAAAAAACAAAACAGCAGCATGAACTTTCTGAAAAACAGAATTTTTGCTCACCTTCAACTTTGAGAGACAGAGCTTTACTCATGAACCTTTTGTCTGAACCAATAAATCTAAAGTTGTAGTTCCCACTGTCTGTCTTTTGCAGATCGGTGATTCTTAAATCACATTTTATCCAGTCTTTTTGGTTTTCTTGTAACATTTTATCAGTGATGTATTCCACTCTGCTGGAGTAACCCGGAGACTGGGGACGTTCTTTCATGTTACTGTATACAATAGTCCCGTTAAACATCATGTCTTTGAGATAAATTTGATCTTTAAACCACAGCAGTGTATATGTCTTGTCCTTTGGTTTTTTGTAAGAACAGGGGATGGTCACAGATGACCCTTCATAAGTTGTTTCTGTTTTTTCAGGCACAATTATTAGGTCTTCATTTGAACTGATGCAGGAGCCCTCAAGAAGAACTGCAGGAAAAAACAACATCAGTGATACTTGTATGTATACCAATAAATTAGCACAATCATTTACAGAAATCAGCATTCAGTATATAATAGACAATACACACCAAACAGAAGTAGAGGAATCCCTTCAGGAACCATCATCCTGTCTGCTGCTAATGAAATAAAGACAGTTATATTATTCTGTTGAGCTCCAGTTTCTTCAGAGCAAGCTCTGACAGCACTTTTGGTGCTTGTCGTTGTGTGTGGGTGAATATGTGTATTTTTGTAGTCACAGATGTTGAGTTAGTCTGTTTCTCCTTCCTTTTTTTTTTTTTTTTGGTTCATCATTGCATGCTAAAAGTGTCATTTTGGCAAGATGATTAGTATGGCTGGGTTGAGTTATCTGAGATAATAGCGCGTTCATGGGTTGGTTTAAAAGGGGCTATGTGTCGATACTCGAAACGACGATCAGCAGTGCAGCGATTGGCTGGCGGCAAGACAGCAACGTAACGACATCATACAATTAAAAAAGACACCTGACGAAAAGCTTGAGAATGAAATGTGCCCTGTTTTAAATTTTTTTTTTTTTTACATTTTTTAATTTAATTTGTTACAGAATTGTATTCAACATGCAATTACAGTAGTGAACAAATCAGGCCTACTGCCCCATCAAGCGAAATCATTTATTGCTGTAATAACTGACACCTATTTTTTTTCCTTAAACAGTTACAGTCTTATATATTAGAACTTGCTGATGACACCCTTAATATTTCTCAAACAACATTTTCACACTATAATGATTCATTTCCATGCCAAAAATGTTTTGTTTGAAGAAGCACAGTGCTTGTCATGCATGAGCTTTACATTTTAACTGATTATGTTGGTAATCTGACAACTACCAAATGTGTTTTTACCACAGTAAAAAAAGGAAGAAAGATACAAATCTTTTACCTTGAAATGGAATCCGTTGTTCTCAATGGGTCTTAAAAATGTTCAAACCGAGAAATAAAAGGAGAACTTCACCCAAGTGTATTTCTAACTTGTTGTATTTGCATAGTTAAACTGACAGACATAAAAGAAATAGGCAAAAAGCACACATTCCTGGTAGAGATAAAGAGATATGTTAATTCTGCCATCTAAGCGTGAAGCTCACTTCCTGTGGCAGTGGTTAGTTCTGTCAAAACTAATCAGAAAATAAAACCCCCTCTAATGGAGGTGTATAACGTGCTGCTATCAGCAGACTAATGGTGCAGCTGGAAAAAGTAAACATGAGAGATGTGTTTATGACCATGTATAAGCGGATATACTGTAATCTAACAATTGAACGCAGGCCTACATATTATTTCTAAGATGATTTCTACTTTTAAGGAAATGGAAAGAACACTGTATTTTAAAAAAATTAATTAATGGTCAGACACCAATAAATAGTCCAGCATCAAAGAAATCTAAAGGTGATCTCTCATTAAAAAGCTTCAAGAGACCATCATCATAGCACACAACAAGAGAGACATTAAAAAAAAAAAACGATCGAAACATATTTAAACACCAGTGAAGAGATGAAATCATCCCACCTTTTCGAAATTGTGGACTTACAGGAGTGCAAAGGTGAATTAATATCCGAAGCTGCAGAACAGGCAAGTGCTGTAGCTCATTCGCAAAGCAGAATAGTTGAAGAAGAATGCTAAAATCAGAGGTGGTGTCTACAACTATACAGGGTTCGAGTGAAGGAAACCTGCTAAGGAGTGGTGTCTGAAATTGTGGATAAGATAAGCCAGTGTCCTGTCCAGTGAGGCCCGTTACCATTTTATTTGTTTATGTTGGGTGGAAGTGCAAAAACAATGATTTCCTTAAAGAACACAAACAACACTTCGGAGAAAATCTGACAGTTAGTTCTGAATAGCTTCTTGGATAGATGCCACCCAGAATGAACAGTGATTCTATTCTAGTGATCTTATACATCCATATTGACTGCTGTTGTAATTTACCATAAAGTCATTAGCCTCAAAGTTGCATTATACGGGGATATGGAAGCTGAATAATTTTGAATGTTGAAATTTTATGATATGAAATCCATTATAGAAAGATCGGTAGCATTTTTTTACAGTCCTTTTCCCCATGCACATACTATGTACTTATTATAGTAATTACAATAACTAGGTAATAACTAGGTACTAACCCATAACTCTAAACCTAACCGTGAAGTCTCTTAGGTAAGTACATTGTAAGAACATGTAAGTACACATACTGTAAAATAAAGTGCAACTGAAAGATCCATATCTTTGCAATTAGGATATCTGGTGAATATGAGGAACTTTGAAAAAAAAAAAAACTTCAGTAAGAACCATTAGTAATGATTTAAATCTAATGTGTTTAAAAAAAAATCATTTGAAGAACTTAAAGAAGGTGTTAATATATTAAATAATAAATCTCCAGGGAGTGATGGGTTGACTTCAGAGTTATATAAAACTTTTACTATGAGTTTATGAAGAATATTTTGTTACATTCTATTATCAATGAGAGAGCATGTTACTTTAATACAAAATCCCCCCAAAAGATTCTCTTCTGGTTGATAACTGGCACCCATCACATTATTAAATAACAACTAAAATATTTTGGCATCTGTTCGAGCAAAATATGGCCTTGATGATTTGATTGATGAGTGCCAGTCTGGGTTTATGAGGTTTGTCACATATCCAGTGTAAGATTAGTTCTGGATTTAATTGACTGTCATGATTTGGTTTTGGATCCTTCTCTTATTTTGTTTTTAGACTTCCAAAAACCTTCGATACCATTAGTGATAATTTTGTTTGTAAATGATGGGATTCAGCTTAGATGCAATTAGTTATTTGGTGGTTAAAATGTCCTTAAATTCAAATGCAGTCCTTATAGAAATTAATTTAAATCAATTTAGGTGTATGTGTCACGAATCCGCTCTATAAACTTCCGTTCACTCACCACCAGAGGTCACCTGCTCTCCACATGGACTCTCACACTACACAGACTGTTACACATCACCCTGGACTACATTTCCCATGCTCCATTGCACTAATCACAAGCTCACCTGAAACCAGTCACACACAGCTGCTACCAATAACACACACTATATAAATCAGTCTCACACCACCATTCAACGCCGAGTATTGTTTAGCGCATATCTCTCTCATAGCGATAGCTACTTTACGGAGCCATTCCAAGTTTCTTAATCTAGTATAGCCCGTGTCTTTATCCTTGCCTGTTATCTCGTTTTGTCTGATCTCTGCCTCCCCTGAAGTTTATAGCTTGTTTTGGAATTACCCTTTGCCTTGCTGTTTCGGACTGTGTTTGCACCTTGCCTGGACTCTAGCTAGTGTTATTGGATAACCCCTCGTGTCAAGCCCTCTGGATATTGTTAGCCGCTGCTTGACCACGCCCTTTTTGGATTACTCTTCAGTCTTGCCCTTAATATACCTGTTTGCCATTGTCTGACCCATGCCTGTTTCATGACCACACCCTTTAATAAAGCCTTGCAGATGGATCCGCACGTCTCACGTCTCGTTCGCCCCGTAACAGGTAT